CAAATGTAATGTACAAGGACAAAAGGAAAACCGCAGGGAGTGCCACTCTCCTGTACACCCAAAGGTAACTTGTTCTAATTAAATGAGTGTGTAACCCTCTCTTTCTCCCACAAAAGTAAATCCTTATGTTATTTTGCACACTATCAAATAAGGTAGAGGTGATAATATGAATTAAGCTTTGCGGGTCAACTCGTCAACCCGCCAAAACGGGTGAGTTGGGTTGAGGTTTTTAATCTATCAACTTATTTCAACCCGCCCCGCCTTAAAGTGGGTTAAAACGGATTCAATCATTTGTGGAGGTGAGTCAACTCGCCAGATTATAATTATTTTTTTTTTTATAATTAAATAGTATTTCATTTGTCATTAAATTTTTGTGATATCCAAAAAAAAATTATCTTAATACTCCCGAATACAAATTTTATTTATGATAAATGTTATCTATATATGGAGACAAATGGATTTCTAAAGAATATTTAACTGAATATTAATATACATTTAAGATTGAGATTAGAAAAAATTAAGAGGAGTGTGAAATAAATAAAATAATATTATAAAATTCATAAAATATAATTTATTTTTGAATTTTAATTATTTTTTTTAATTGACGGGTGGGTGAGTTGACCCGCCAACCCGTTAACCCACCATAAAATGATATGGATATATTTTTTCAACTCATATTTAATGACGGGTCAACCCGTCCCACCCCATTTTTAGTGGATTGATGATGGGGCGGGGCGAGACAACCCATATTACCACCCCTAATATAAGACAATTTTAGCCCATAAGCAAGCTTTTCAAAATTACACACAAAAAGTAATATTAAGTCTCATCCATTCAAATCTTTACAAATTAAGAATGACAAAGGTAGGGGTTATTATCATGTGGTACGGAGGTTACACATTATAATCATATAATTTTTTATAAATGTAATGCAAAACTGTCTATTTTTTTATATATATAATGAAGTTATTGAGATTTGAATTTATAACCTCTTGCAAATTATCTAAAATCCTCACCATTAAAGCAATTCTATTCATGATTTGATAATTATTATTTTTTATTTCAAGCAAAATAATTGAGATTGTTTTGGCAAAAAATAAACCAAATCGTAACCAACGGTAATAAATCCATTATCACAAATTTGATACTTTTTTTTCATTTTTTATGAAATAATTCAAATTTTCATTTAATGAATATTTAAATTCTTTCGTTAAAAAATAATAAAAAAAGTTAATTATCAAATCAAAACGTAATTAATGGTAATAAATTTAACATTTTTAAATGTGTCATGCTTTCAAAAAATAGCGGTTGAGAATTATTTATTATATTAATTATTATTTATTTATTTATTTTTTTTGTATAACATATTATTTATTGTAATGAATATTTACATAGAGTGAGAGAATAAAAATACAAGTGTACCAGTGGTAATGAAATTTTGAAATAGATGATCAAGATCAAGCCACATCACATGATTTCGTGAGTAAAGCATTGAGTAGTTGCACATGAGGTGTGTGCGCAGATAACTCATTTGGTTGTGCCACATCACAGTCGCTCCCCTATGTGCAAGTAATTGGATTATTTCAATAAATAATTTTAAATATGCATTAATTAGATAATTAATTTTAAATTTATATTAATTATATCATCTCTTTTTTTGGTAAACATTAATTATATCCTTTTTTTTAGATTCATGATTTTCATTTTAGTAAAAGGATTAATTATATCCTTTTACTAAAAAGAAAATCATGAATCTCAAATTATATATATTATTATAGGGAAATACTTTTTTTATGTTGTAAGAAAAAAGTTATCTCATGTTGTAGAAATAAAATTATAAGTGAAACCCACAGATAAGGGAAGAGAGAAAAAATAGTGGTGAAACCCAATACCTTTTTGTGTGTGTAGAAAAGTTGTTTATCTCATGTAAAATGAGATAAACATAGCCATTATTATATAGGAAAAAACTATTCTCATGTCACATGAGGTAAATTTCTTCCTACACACTCTTCGATAATCGTGCAATATTTTTCTTTTCTTTCTTTTTTATTTTTTAGGTTGTGGGTACCACCATTATGTGCCTATAACTTAAGATTTCTTCTCTCGTGCAACATAAGACTAGATAAGCCATATTTATATATATATATATATATATATATATGTATATATATATATATATAAACCTTTTTTATATACATAAACATTTTAAAATTTAAAGAAAATATTCAAAAATATTTAAGTTAAAAAAATCAATTTATAATATAAATATAATAACATTTTTAAATGAAATAAAAATAAAAAATGTAAATTTTTAAAAATATACATGATTAATTTGAAATAATAAAAATAAGATATTAAAAAGTGTTATGAAAAAGGGTCTCAAGAAAAGAAAATTTGTACAAGAAAACTCATGTACAATTAGAGAGAAAAAATATGGAGTAATTCAATGAGAATGTGTTCAGGAAAAACTCCTTTAGTTAGGAAAGCTAATTCAGTCTTAATTGTTTCCTCCCACTTAGGTCAACCTTGCCTTTGACGACATTCAGATTGATTGTGGCTCATAATCATCTATCATAATTTTGTAAGCAACTGAGAATGCAAAACATCATCAACAATGATGTCATTTCGATCCCAACTTTCATAATAATATGCAATGAATTCTCAGTTTTCCTGTCATTTTGATCGCAACTTTCATAATAATGTGCAATGGAATTCTCAGTATTCCCAGGGTTAGAGATCTTTGCATTGATTTGTACCTCTTCGGGGGCAATAAGCTCTTTAGGAGTAATCATAACATTAGGCTCTATTGGAATATGTTCTTGATTCTTTCCCCTTCGTTTTCGAGGAACAACGTCTTTTGGTCCTATTGGTCTTTTGGTCCTTCATAAACAAACTATCTTAGCTGGAACATTTGTCGCGGAGTATGAGACTTCATTACCTTAGCAACATCATTAAATGCATCAGGAAGTCTATTGGCCAGAGCCTGTAGATGAATTATGCGTTGTACCTCATTTTCACATTCACGAGTTCTTGGGTCTAATTAAGATAAATTTATTGCATTCCAGGAGATATCCTCAACTAGTTTCTTATTTGTAATTATTGTATTCTCAGGTGTTCCAAATGAGGGAAACATTGTCACATCAAAATGGCATCGACAAATCTAGCCGTAAATAAAAAAAAAATGAGAAGAAGAAGAGAAAAAAATGGTCAAAGGTGAGTAAAAGGGAGAATATACTACCTTGTAGACAAAAAGGTTGTTCCTTTTTTCTCTTACGAGGAGCAAGAACAAAATTTTTTTCTCTTATCAGAATATGAGGAGCAAGAATGATTTTCATTTTTATTTTTCAGCAAGTTTATCGTGCTGATAACGTGTTATAAAAATTAGAGATAACGTGTTGTAAAAATAAGAGAAGAGCTAAGGGAGAGATATTAAGACAAAGAGTATAGAAGACAAATAACGTAAAATTTTAATTATCATTAGCTTCATGCATATATATATATATATATATATAGGAATACAATCATGAATGCGGAACAATTATTCTTCAAGAAATCATTAATGCAGTGGTCATCAACTACACTTTTACTGACCATTAGTATAGGAGTTACAAGATATATAAAAAATAACGAGAAACTAAATAATCATCCATATGAGTATGTATTTTATAACAAAAAGAGAATTTTAAAATTACAGGCATTGATTTATAATATAGATTAAATCGAATTGCTGGTATTCATTTTAGAAACCGTCGGTTCAGGTGGAACCCAGCTTGGTCGGACACGTACACCTATAAGAGGATTTGATAAGCCAATTTTCTTATCATATCAGGTGAGATGAGTTTTATGGGATGGCAAGGCCGGGTCGATGGCTGGGCCGGATGTTTAAACACTGATTGGAATATGTTCTTGATTCTTTCCCTTCGTTTTCGAGGAACAACGTCTTTTGGTCCTATTGGTCTTTTGGTCATTCATGAACAATTATCTAAGCTGGAACATTTGTTGCGTAGTATGAGACTTCAATACCTTAGCAACATTATTAAATGCATCAGGAAGTCCATTGGCCAGAGCATCTAGATGAATTATGCGTTCTCATTTTCACATTCACGAGTTCTTGGGTCTAATTGAGATAAATTTATTGCATTCCAGGAGATATCCTCAACTAGTTTCTTATTTGTAATTATTGTATTCTCGGGTGTTCCAAATGAGGGAAACATTGTCACATCAAAATGGCATCGACAAATCTAACTGTAAATATAAAAAAAAATGAGAAGAGAAAAAAATGGTCAAAGGTGAGTAAAAGAGAGAATATAATACCTTGTAGACAAAAAGGTTGTTCCTTTTTTCTCTTACGAGGAGCAAGAACAGTTTTTTTTCTCTTATCAGAATCTGAGGAGCAAGAATGATTTTTTTTTTCAGCGAGCTTATCATACTAATAACGTGTTATAAAAATAAGAGATAACGTGTTGTAAAAATAAGAGGAGAGCTAAGGGAGAGACATTAAGACAAAGAGTATAGAAAACAAACGGCGTAAAATTTTAATTATCATCAACTTCATGCATATGTATATATAGGAATACAATCAAGAATGCGGAATAATTACACTTCAAGAAACTATTAGTGCCGTGGTCATCAATTACATTTTTACTCACCATTGATATAGGAGTTACGAGGTATATCAAATGCATAAACCAAATAATCATCCATATGAGTATGTATTTTATAACAAAAAGAGAATTTTAAAATTACAGGCATTAATTTATAATATAGATTAAATCGAATTGCTGGTATTCATTTTAGAAACCGTCGGTCCAGGTGGAACCCAGCTTGGTCGGACACGTACACCTGTAAGAGGATTTGATAAGCCAATTTACTTATCATATCATTATCAGGTGAGATGAGTTTTATGGGATGCTTATCTTCTCGTCCACCACGCCGATCTTATAAGAGTCAGCCTCAGCCGTCATTTCTGCATTTTCTGCAGAAAGGTTTCCACCACTGAGAAAGCTTCTTCCAAAAATTTCTTCTTTTTATCTTTTTTTAAGGTGAAGCTTTATGCCTTTCGCTCCTTTTGTGTCACTTTCTTTTTTTTTTTCTTTTCCTGTCTTTTTTCAGGAGCCATTTTTTTTTTTATATTTTGCTCTTAAGATAAACAAAGGAGAAACTTTTTTCTTTCTTTTTGGCAATCTCCAACCAAAAATGCGATGGTGGTGGTCACAGAGGAGATACCATTATGCCATGATATGTGTCAATCCAATGGCCCCAACCTTTTTCAATTTGACCGTTCAATAGTAACGTTTTGGGATCTGATTGGTGTGTTCTTTACTTTACCTTTACTTGTGATTGTGGAAACTATTTTCCATAATCAAAAGCCCAAACTCTGTTCTTCTGAGGTTGCATGTTTGGGGGAAAAAAAGGACTGAGTTTTTTAAGAACCCCACTCTTTCATTTTTGTTTTTTTGCTGGCCAATTGGTCTTTCGTTTTTATAAAGCAAAGTTGTAGCGATTGCATTTGTTAGTATTTGATTTGACAAAAAGTTATGATTTTTCTGATTGTGCTGAGTTGGTAATCTGAAAAAACAAACAGGTCTGTTATGGATAAGTCTGTTCTGAGTCAAGAGCTTGTATTCTTAATCTTACAGTTCCTTAAAGAAGAGGGTTTAGAGGAAACTGCACACAAGTATGTCTCCCTCTCTCTATCTAAACTCAGGCTTCTTTGTCTTATCTTGATCATTATTCTTTTGACATTTATTCTTTTTTTTTTTCCCCTTCAATTTTTTGATTCACAGGCTTGAGCGTGACAGTGGCTTCTACTTTGACATGAAGCATTTCGAGGACATGGTGCTTGCTGGGAAATGGGACGACGCTGAGACATATCTTTCTGGGTTCACAAGGGTTGATGACAACAAGTTCTCAATCAAAATATACTTTGAATTGAGGAAACAGAAATTCCTTGAGACATTGGACATGTAAGCTTCTCAATCTCCCCAAGAATACTTAGTTGTTTTCATACATGTATGCTGTTCAATGTTCATAGCCTATGCTTCTCTAAACTCATTTCTCTTATTTCATCAGTAACGATCGTGCCAAGGCTTTAGATATCCTCATGAAGGATCTGAAAGTTTTTTCCCAAGGTCATGAAGAGCTATTCAATGAAATGACTCAGCTTTTGACAGTTAATAATATAAGGTACATGACCTTATGAGTCAAGTGCCAGTTTACTAATTTTAGATATGAATTTTAAGCTTAACCTTTTTGTTTTTTTGGGTCTAAACAGGGATCATGCATCACTTTCAACATATGGAGATGCAAATTCTGTGAGGAAGATGGTTATGGACGATATTAAGGGAGTCATTAAGTCAAATCCTGTGTTCAAAGGAAAGTTGAAATTTCCTGCAATTACCGATCGGAGGTTACGCCATCTTCTAAACCAAAGGTTTCACTCTCTTTTCTCAATTTAAAGTTGATAAATTGTAAGCATATTTTGCATTCATGTTTGCATCTACGTTTTCTTAGGGTAACTGTGCTATAGCCTAAGTTAAGTGCATTGGTTTCATTGTTCCCTACTATTGTTGATATCTGCCGATGCTTTTAAACCACTGGTAGAAAATTTACTTATTATCCATTTTGTTAGCTTAAATTGGCAGCATCTACTTTGTGAAGATCCAGCTTCGGTGCCTGTTATACAATCCCTCTTTGTGAACCACATTTGTAAACCATCTTCGAACCTTTCAGCCCTGAAATCAGAAGAAAGTAATTCGTTGCAAAGGTCTGATAAACATTTGTCCAACTGTAGTTCCTACCCATCTACCATAACTGATTCTCCACTCTTTCCTGCTGCACTAACAAATCCAGGTATGAGCTTTATTCTTGCATTTTTTTTTTCTTTCTTTTAAGTAATCAGTTTAATTCACCGATCCTACTAGTTTGGGTTAAATGTGATGTTCGTGATGATGTTGTTGAAGTATTCATTTTAATTCTTGCTTACATTGATAATCGTCCTTGTCCTTCTGTAAAAACTGCAGTGGATGTTCTGGATCCTAATGAAATATTTTTGAAAGGAATTCCCTGCCAGGCTTCCAATGAGGTCAGTTGGGTGAAACTTTATTGTTCAACCTAGCTGTAAGACTTCCCGTATCTTATCTATGGAATCAAAGTGATGATGTGCCTTCCTGTGCAGGTGACGTCAGCCATAGCAAATGACCCTCCTGTAGAAGTTATTCAGACATTGAAAGAGGATTCCCCTCCTGTTACCATGGATTTTCATCCTACTTTGCATGAAGTTCTTCTAGGTTGATTCATAGAATATGGTCTTTTGTTTGAAAATCATTCTATTTTTTATGTATTTTGAAACAATTGATGATAAAGAATGAAAGCAGCTAATATATAGCTACTGTCATGTTTCTTCAGTTGGAACACATATTGGCAATATAGGACTTTGGGATGTTAATTATGGTAAGAAATTGTTCTCTAGAGATTTTAGAGTTTGGAATATTGGAGCATGCTCCATCAATTTCAAGGTACGTCCTCTTCCAGACTAGATTGTACCCCTGTTACTACTTATCATGTCAATGATCTAAATAGTAAACTCTGAACCACTGCCGATTGTGTTCAGAAGGCTCTGGAAAAGAACTTGTGTATTTCAGTTAAGAAAATCACGTGGAGCCCTTATGGTTCACTGTTTGGTAAGAATCTTTAACTACTTAAAGGGTAAGTCTAGTTGCCAATGATTACAAAGTTTTATTGCTGCTAACTAACTGTTCTTACTTGAAACAGGGGTTGCATTTTCAGAACATATTGTTCAATTATATTCCTATCATGGTGGCAATTGCTGCCAGCATCTAGAAGTAATATATTTCATTTCTCCCCATAAATATCTAATTAGATGGATATAATATATGATTCTCAGTCTAACTTCTAAATGCTATCTTCTCAGATTGATGCTCATGATGGCAGTGTCAATGATCTAGCATTTTCCTCTCTTAATAATCAACTGTTGGTCATAACATGTGGAGATGACAAGACCATAAAGGTCAGTTCTTATAATGGACAATAAATACTTTCTTCATAAAGAAACTGACCTCAGAGATCCCCCCCACCCCCCAACAACAAAAAACCTAACAATGATTTTCTTTACTGCTTTTAAGGTCTGGGATGCTGTTAATGGTGTCAAATGTCATACTTTTGAAGGTCATGATGCTCCTGTTTGTTCTGTTTGTCCTCGTGTGAAGGACCGTATTCATGTAAGAATGCTTTATTGTAGCATCATTAATGTAATAACTTGTTTCATGTATTACTCATTCTCTGTATGTTATGTGTTTCTTGTGCACTTTCACGTCAGTTTTTTTTTTCAACGTCAATCGATGGGAAGATTAAGGCATGGTTATATGATTGTCCGGAAGCCAGAGTTGATTATGATGCCCCTGGTCATGGATACACTACATTGGCTTACAGTACTGATGACCGAAGGTTTTGAGCTACCAGTCTAAAACCCTGTTCGAATTGTGTTTCCTATTAATGACTAATAGGTGATTGTAGTCTAACTAATGCTGATAAACTTTTCTAGGCTTTTTTCATGTGGAAGTGGTAAATTTGGTGAGCCAAATCTTGTAGAATGGGATGAAAGTGAAGGATATATAAAAAAAATGTACAAGGGACTTAAGAAGCCATGCTCATCTACCATCCATTTTGATTTAACTCACAAAGGACTTTTGGCTGCTGGTGATGATCATATGGTTAAATTTTGGGATATGGACAATATTGAGCTCTGGACAAGCACTGATGCCAATGGAGAATTACTAGTAAGTTCTTCAGTTGGTCTTTTGGTTTTCTAGATGCTATTTTGGAAATTGTGTTGGCGTTCCAACAATCCAAAATTTTAAAACTTATTTGATTGGATATCTCTTATTTCTGTGGGAGGTGGTAGTTTTAGTTCAATATAACAAAACTCCAACACCAAAAATGGTATTTTATAGTGTGATTGTTTTTTCAGGAATATCCATGCATTCGCTTCAACAAGGAGGGAACATTACTGGCTGTTGCTGCAAAAGAAAACAAAATAAAAATTTTAGCAATTCACTATGACATTTTGCCAAAATGGAATGAAATTCATCCTGTTCATGAACCCAGTATTCTCCATGACACCTTGGGAAAGGTAAGCATATGTAACTTTACATGGACTATGCTCTGGAGTTTCTTGAGCCTCAAGATTTTAATTTCTTGCAGCATACACAAAGCCCAATTTTGATTGATGCTAGTGCTGGAATCGCAGATGAAGTCAGTTTGTCGTTCGAAAAATTATGAAATAATCTTTTGTATTATGCATAGAATAGTAAATTTGAGGTTTATTTGTCTGATTCACTTGCCTATATAAGCATGATTAACACAAATATCTGTTCCTATTTATCTTATTTTTGGAGTAGGATTACTTTTCTTGACATTTCTTTGCATCTTAGAATTTACTCGTTAACACTCTTTTCAACTTGAATTTTTTTTTTTCTAAAGAATGGGTGCAAAAAAGGCTTGGAGGATGTGAGAACTAATTCAATTGAAGAGTCCCATAACAAATCAAAGTATTGGAATGTTTCCGAAATTTGTAAACCATCCCAGTGCCAGTTCTTGCAGCTTCCTGTTCATTCCAAAATAAACAAGGTATGACATTTATATGCTAATGCCTTATTAGGAATATTGCAAATGGTTACATGTATTATCACTAGTTTTAACAATATTTGAACATTGTTAGAATATTAGATATGATATGATTAGATTTGATTAGATATGATTGGATTCTGTCTTATCCGTAAATAGTCTGAGTGTATTCTGACTGTATTAGGATTAGGTTTGGATTAGGTTTGGGCCTTACACTTAAACCCATTATGGTCTCTATATATTGTAACTCCCTGACACAGATCAATACACAACATATTCTTTTACATTTAACTTGGTACCAGAGCTATTTCGTTCTGGGAACCCTCGCTTCCGCTTAGAAATCTTGTTCTTCGCTTTAAAACCTAAGCCCACTGCTTAGGAGTCATCTTTTCTTTGCCGTGCGTCCTTCCGGTAAGATATCAAAGGCTGTAAGTCCTCTCCAGGAATCTTCTTCACGTGTCCACAGTCACCGGAGCACCATCAGCCACCGTCAGCCACTGTTCAGGCTGCCGGAGTACTTTTCCGGCGAGTTTTCAGTCTAGAACGAACGCGAACAGAACCCTCTCCTCCCGGCGACCTGCTCTGTGGAAGTCCGGCCACCATCGGAGTTGTCACGCGCTCTCACGCGCCTCCAGTCTTCTCTGCGCGTGGGCTTCACGCGCCACCTTCTGCCGGCGCGTGAGCACTATTCCGGCGGCTTTTTCCGGCCGGTCTTGGACAGAGAAGCTCGTCTTCTCCTCCTCTTTCTGGATCTGTGGATGGTTCTTTGTGGGTCTGACTTTTTGTGCGCACCTCTTCTTGATTGGTGATCAGGTTCGTTTCTCTTTATTCGGTTTGTATCTTTGTGATTTGATACTATGGCAGCAAACCCTCCAATTCATTCGGAGGTCAAGTCTCCATCTCCTCCTTTGAGAAATTCTCCCAATATCATCTCTACCAATATTGGGTCCATTACCTCTTCAAAATTGAAGGGATCTGTTAATTACAAGAACTGGGCCACCTCTGTTCGAGTTTGGTTCTTTGGACAAGGATATGGGAACCATCTCACAACTAAGTCTACTGATGTCCCTAAGGAGGACAAGTCTGATTGGGAAAAGATTGACAACCAACTTCTGAGTATCCTCTGGCAATCCATTGATCCGATTGTCTTGGATATCTTTTATTCATTTCAAACTTGCACTGAAGTGTGGGAGGAAGCAAAAAACCTCTACACTAATGATGTTCAGCAGCTCTATTTCATCATCTCTCAGTTTATGGAATTGAGCAAATCATCCGACATTCAGATGGAGACATATATTGGCAAGAGTCGCTCTTTGATGCAGGCATATTTGGATATGCTGCCTTACCCTACTGATGCTACTGCATATCGAAAACAAGTGGAACGTCTCTTTATGGTTGCCACACTTTCTGGCCTTCCCGAAGAATATGATAATGTTCGTGATACTATCTTGACTAGTGGGGAGCCTGATCTATCCATGACGTATCAGCGTCTTCTGAATTTGAATAAGAAATCTGCTCCTGCATCGTCTTCTGATGTTGATTCTACTGCTCTAGTTTCCCGTACTGATTTTCGCGGGCATATTGGAGGTGGACGTGGTCGTGGTAGAGGCCCAGGAGGCCAGGGCCCAGGAGGCCCAGGAGGACGTAGCCCAGGAGGTCGTGGCCCAGGAGGCCCAGGAGGTCCAGTCGGACGTGGTCAGCGACCTCGTTGTCATTACTGTCAGCAACTTGGTCATTATGAGGAACGCTGCTACACCAAGTATCCTCACATGCGACCTTCTTTTGCTGCTAATGTAGCTCAATCGGATACTGCTTCAAATGGTTCAGTCTCTCTCTCCTCTGAAGAATATGCAGCATTCCAGGCCCTTCTCAGGAAGTTCTCTCCTCAATCTCAGGCCTCTGCTTCAGAAACTGGTAATCCTGTTGCTTGTGTTTCTCATTCTGCATCACTTGGTCCTTGGATATTTGACTCAGGTGCTACTGATCACCTCTGTGGTAATAAGGAACTCTTTTCTTCCCTTACATATTCTAATAATTTACCCTCTTTTACTCTTGCTGATGGAACTAAGGCCCCCGTTCATGGGATTGGACAAATCTGTCCAACCTCCTCATTGACCTTGACATCTGTCTATTACATTCCTCACATCCCTTATAATTTAATATCGGTTAGTAAATTGATCAATTCTCTTAATTGTATTGTCACATTCTCAAACCATTCTGTTTCTGTGCAGGACCCGGGTACGGGGAAGATGATTGGAGTGGGCCGTGAGTCACGGGGTCTGTTCTACCTTGATGTGCCGAGTCCTTCAGTTGCTTGTTCTCTCACAGAATCTCCACAGCTCATCCACAGTCGTCTCGGGCATCCTAGTCTTGCGAAATTGCAAAAGATGGTTCCTCTTTTATCCGATCTTCAAACTTTAGATTGTCAGTCATGTCAGCAAGGAAAGCACATACGCTCCTCCTTTGCTAATCGAGTCAATAAACGAGCTGATGCTCCTTTTTCAATTATTCATTCAGATGTTTGGGGTCCTAGTCGTAGTGTGTCTATTTTAGGTTTTCGGTATTTTGTCACCTTTATTGATGATTTCTCCCGTTGTACTTGGATTTATTTAATGAAAAACCGTTCTGAGTTGTTTTCTATTTATCAAAAGTTTTCTGCTGAAATTCATACTCAATTTGGTGCTTCTATTCGTATTTTACGTAGTGATAATGCTAAGGAGTATGTTTCTGTTGACTTTTCTCACTTCTTAGCCACACAGGGTACTTTACACCAAACCACTTGTCCTCACACTCCACAACAAAATGGAGTAGCTGAACGTAAGAATAGACATCTCATTGAGATTGCCAGGACTCTTCTTATTCACATGCATGTTCCTCTTCACTTCTGGGCTGATGCAGTCCTTGCTTCTTGCTTTCTCATCAACCGCATGCCTTCATCTGTGCTTAATAATGATATTCCTCATAACTTATTGTTTCCAGATGTTCCTCTCTTTCCTCTATCCCCACATGTTTTTGGTTGTACCTGTTTTGTTCATGATCTCACTCCTGGTAAGGATAAGTTAACATCCAAAGCCTTTAAATGCATTTTTCTTGGTTATTCTCGTCTTCAAAAGGGTTATCGCTGTTACTCTCCTGACCTCAAGCGTTACTTAGTTTCCGCGGATGTCACCTTTTTTGATCAATAACCCTTTAATTCTATCCCATCTCCATTGTCACAGGTTGATCATGTCCTTCCTGTTCCTTTTCTTGACTTGTCTTTGCCAGATGCAGGTGCTTCTACTCCAGATAAGCCATCACCTATTGCTCCAGTACCTAAGGACCGTCCACTTCTCACTTATCAGCGTCGTAAGACAGTACCTCCAGTCGACTCGACCCCTGCTGACTCATTGCCCTCTGCAGTTGATTCTTCCCCTCCGGATCCTTCACCAGAGGCTCTTCCCATTGCTCAAAGAAAAGGTACACGTACTACTCGTAACCCTTATCCTCTTTATACCTTCTTGAGCTATGATCGCCTTTCTCCTCCTCATTTCACCTTTGTTTCTAGTCTTTCTTCTGTTTCTATTCCTAAGACCACAGGTGAAGCACTTTCCCATCCAGGATGGCGCCAAGCGATGCTTGATGAGATGACCGCACTTCATACCAATGGCACTTGGGACCTTGTTTCTGCTCCTCCAGAGAAGTCTATAGTTGGTTGTCGCTGGGTGTTTACTGTGAAAGTTGGACCTGATGGCCATGTTGATCGTCTCAAGGCACACCTAGTTGCCAAGGGTTTTACTCAAATCTTTGGCCTTGATTATAGCGATACATTCTCTCCAGTCGCTAAGATGGCGTCCGTCCGCCTATTTCTTGCCCTTGCTGCTGTTCGTCACTGGCCACTCCTTCAACTTGACATCAAAAATGCCTTTCTTCATGGTGATTTACAAGAAGAAGTTTACATGGAGCAACCACCTGGTTTTGTTGCTCAGGGGGAGTCTGGGAAGGTATGTCGTCTTCGAAAATCCTTATATGGTCTCAAGCAGTCTCCTCGAGCATGGTTCAGTCGCTTCAGTTCTGCTGTACAGGCGTTTGGCCTAATTCGCAGTAAAGTTGACCATTCTGTATTCTATAGGATTACATCTCCTAACAAGTGCATCTATTTGTTAGTCTATGTTAATGACATCATCCTCACCGGAAGTGATCAAGACGGAATCCATCAGTTAAAACAACATTTATTCAGTGCATTTCAAACAAAGGACCTTGGGAAGCTGCGTTACTTCTTGGGAATTGAGGTGGCGCAATCTAGACAGGGCATTTCTATCTGTCAAAGGAAGTATGCCTTGGATATCCTAGAGGAGACTGGTATGTTGGGGTGTAAACCAGTTGATACACCAATGGATCCTAATGTTAAGTTATTGCCCAGACAGGGGGAGCCGTTATCTGATCCTGGACGTTATCGAAGGCTGATTGGGAAGCTCAATTATCTTACTGTGACTAGGCCAGATATTTCTTTCGCTGTCAGTACGGCCAGTCAGTTCCTTGATTCCCCTTGTGATTCACATTGGGATGCTGCTGTGAGGATCCTCCGATACATCAAAGGAGCACCAGGAAAAGGTTTGTTGTATTCGGATAAGGGAAATACAGAAATTTGTGGTTACTCAGATGCCGATTGGGCAGGATCACCCTCGGACAGACGCTCTACTTCTGGTTATTGTGTCTTCTTCGGAGGAAACTTAATCTCATGGAAAAGCAAGAAACAACCTGTTGTTTCCCGATCTAGTGCAGAAGCTGAGTATCGTGCAATGGCAAATACTACCTGTGAGTTGATCTGGTTAAAGCAGTTGATTCAGGAGCTTCATCTTTGTGAACAGAAACAACCCATGACACTCATCTGTGATAATCAAGCTGCGCTACATATATCCTCTAATCCTGTTTTTCATGAGAGGACCAAACATATAGAGATTGATTGTCACTTCATTCGGGAAAAGATTCAGTCAGGAGAAATCAAGACAACTTTTGTCAACTCATCTAATCAACTAGCAGATATTTTCACTAAAGCTCTTAGAGGTCCTCGGGTTGAATACATTTGTAACAAGCTTGGTGCTCATAATATATACGCACCAGCTTGAGGGGGAGTGTTAGAATATTAGATATGATATGATTAGATTTGATTAGATATGATTGGATTCTGTCTTATCCGTAAATAGTCTGACTGTATTCTGACTGTATTAGGATTAGGTTTGGATTAGGTTTGGGCCTTACACTTAAGCCCATTAGGGTCTCTATATATTGTAACTCCCTGACACAGATCAATACACAACATATTCTTTTACATTTAACTAACATGATACATGTCATCCTTTAATGTGTAGCTATCATCCTGTTACTCTATTATTATGTTGGGCTCCCTTTTACATAAATGTCTTGGAAGCCTATTGTAATCAGAAAATAACAATTGCTACTGGATTCCATGGATTGATACCTCTTAGAAACATGCCAGCCACCTATACCGGCTTAAAAATGGAAAATTTAATTCGCATGATAAATATAAGATGGGATATACAAGATAACAAAACAACCAGGGAATTAGGTTTCCCATAACAAGAAACTATCATTAACTTTCCCTCTGATGAAGCACAGATTGTTAGACTGAGTTACACCAATGCGGGAAATGGCATTTTGGCATTGGCATCAAATGGTGATCATCTACTTTGGAAATGGCCACAGGATAACCTTAACTTGGATGGAAAGGTAAGTGGAAACATCAAATTCACTTTTTTCATATGGATTCTCCCCCTCACTCCCCCCCTTCTTTTCAGTTTTGTTACTTTGTCTGTAGTTGAATTTATTATAAAAGATAAGTAATACATGCAGGCAACTACCCAAGTTTCTCCTCACATCTGGCAACCAAGGAGTGTTTTGCAATTGATGAGAAATGACCTTACATTTACTAACAGTGGAGACCTAATTTCCTCTTTTGCTTTGTCTAAGAACGATTCATATCTCATGTCAACATCAGGGGGTATAATCTCCTTATTCAACATGTTGACGTATAAGGTAACCTTAAAAGATAGAAGCCCGCTGTTCTAAAGCTTCTTCATTTCTATTAAAGTATTTAATACTGATATTTTGATATCATTGTAGAAGGTTCCATTTCATACATACATTCATTATGATTTTTCAAAAAATTATAGAAATCATCCATATGCATCAACATTTTCTAGGATCAGAATAATGGATTTTTCATTTAGTTATCATGTATATTTCTCTTTCATCCTCCCTCATTAGTTCAGGAACTTCATTCATTTATTCTCTCTCTTTTTTTATTTGAGATCATGCTACTACATATCTACATCGACTTACTAATCATATGTCACAAATTACCTCTAATTTACAGGCTGTGACAACTATCGTGCCTCCAGCACCTATGGCAACAACCTGTCTTGCTTTCTACCCTCAGGATAATAATATACTTGCCGTTGGTATGGATGATTCCAGTATACTTATATACAATGTCCGTACAAATAAGGTATATTTCTTCCTTTATTTGACAAAGATATGCATCATTGCCTGCTTCAAGGAAGCTGAAGCTATTTTCTGTGTCTTTTTGTGCAGATTGAAATCTTGCTTGAGGGCCACTCAAAAAGAGTTACTGCCCTTGCCTTCTCAAGTAGTTCTAATCTTCTTGTTTCTGGTGATATAAATGCTCAGGTTAGTATTTAATATTCATCACGTGCATCATTTAACTGCACAAATAATCTAAAACTAGCACTGCTTGGAATTACTTGACCTATCATTCTGATCTGGAAAAATTGTCCCAGTGGCTTATGTATTAAAAAAATATTAACACGCTCTCATGCACTTTCTATCAAAAGAAGAACAATGATAACGGCCTCAAACACAAAATTAGCCATGCCCTTGGAACCAAATTCACATATATTTTCTAACGAAGGCATACACTAAGTTATTCGGTTACAACACGGAACTATCTTGACTTTTTTTTTTTTCTTTTCTTTTTTCGTTTTATATTTTATTTTAATTATATTTTTTGATTTAGTTTTGTTGTGTCCCCCATCTCCACTATTATTTTGGTGAACAAAAAAAATTCCAGCTTGAAAAATTGAAAATATTTGATACGTTGAGTGTGCTACATGAATAATTAGTTGGAAAAATTAATTAGTTTTTTGTATCAAGAGTATGATGATGTGACTCATTATTTTTCTATGCATGAATGAGCACGAGTTAAGTAGGTTAAATAATGCATTGGAATATTAGGAGAGTAATTAGGAGTGATTGAGATGAAGAGTAGGGAATTAATCTTGCACCGATAACCATGAGATTTTGAGCAAAAGAGTTAATTTATTTGGTGTACACTTCACGCATGAAAACACTTTAGGTCTTGTTTTGTTTCTCGCTTAAGATGGTATAACAGATGAAATTTTTTCTAAGCACACTTTAAATCTAAACCCAGCTAATGTTTAAAACTGATATAATACTGTGATTTATTATTAAATGAACAATTTTTGGTTAAGTTGTTTTCTCATTATTTTAATTTCTCCCGCAGATTGTTGTATGGAATACCAATGGGTGGGGAAAACAGAAAGATAGGTACTTGCAAATACATGGACAGCAGGTGCCAGAAGGACTATCTGAAACTCACATTCAGTTTCACCAGGATCAGAAGCACTTCCTTGCTGTACGTAATACTCATCTTGCAACTTATGAAGCAACAGAACTCAGATGTGTCAACCAGGTTTTCTCTTCTTTCCCTCTCATATTACGTGGGTGTTTTCTTCAAAGCGAGCTGTTTCTTACTAAACAAGTATATATATATATATATATATATATATATATATATATACCTTTTTGTTTCATACAGTGGGTTCCAGAAGTTCCGGTGGTTATCTCCCAAGCAACTTTCTCATCTGATGGCCAAACTGTGTATGCCAGTTTTGTTGATGGAACTCTGGCAATATTTGATGCTTTCAATTTTCAGATGCAATGTAGGATTAATCCCTCTGCTTACCTTTCTTCAACTTCAAGGTATGTTTTTCTTTCTCGAGGGTTGCAATTTCAAGGCTTGCCAAAGTAATCATATGAATGCTGTCAAGATAAACCATATCAAAGTCCTTTTTCGCCATAATGCATCTTAGAAGAGAAATACTGCTAGTTTATGCTTGTCAGTTAGACACTGCTTTGAATTCTTACTATCACTACGTGATTTTTTTAGTTCACTGTTGATTACACTCATTTTACTCTGCATATCACAGTCCCAATAGCCTCGAGACTGAGATAAACATGGATAAGCATCAAGCATTATTTCAAAGCTTATGGATTGTTCGTTTATTCATTATACTTATTACCGTGCCACGCATTGTAATTATATAATTTGTTTATTTCAGTTTAAGCATCTATCCACTTGCCATTGCTGCGCATCCACAGAAGCCGACCCAGTTTGCTGTGGGGCTCACAGATGGTAGGATTTTCGTATTTGAGCCTCAGAAGCCAGGAGGTGATTGGAGCAGCTCTGCACTTAATGATAAGGAGCCAATGAACACCAGGTTTATGATGGGAGTGAGTGGGTTCTGAGGTGAAATAGTCCAAAGGAAAAATAACCAAGACCCCATAGAAAGTGAAAAATTTTATTTGAAATATTTATGTTCGCTTTAGAATTATAGTCTATAGACTTAACAAGGGATTTGATCCGTATGTATCCTATTTGATGCAGTGGCATTGTAGTCAATTTGACTTGCAGCCCATGAAACCAAGCTAGTGATCATTTTTGCTTTTATAAATGTCATGCAGATCATGAAAATAAATGTCAGTATTTTAACATAACTATAGAGGTTGAGAAAAAGAAAGTAAAACTATACAAATTGAAGACCATGCAGATGAAGTTTTAATAATCATTATACGCCGTTTTAATTAATTAGGTTGGCTTTTATATAAAAAATATCCACTTCAGAAGCTCCAGCTAGTTCAAACTTTTCAACTGAAACCTCAAACATTCCTCCCATGTTGGAAGGCCTAGCTTGTATTCCACAACAGAGCGTTCATACAATAAGGTACCCCATAAAAGATATACCTCATCTTTGCAGCCTGCTCTGAAGCTTCATTAGGAGTAATATTCTTGTAAAAGACTATCCAAGCCTATTTTCTCTAACTCTGGTTTATATTTATCTCTAATTTGGATATTCTATTCAAACGCTGCTCCTCAATCTCCTCCCACATCAACATGCCTTTCTGCATGCTGTACTCTGCCTTGTTTATAGAGCTGTAGAACCAATATTGTTAAAACGTAGAGTCTACGTAGAAACGGTAAGGGTGAGCAAAAACATAAAATCGCAAAACGTTAACGATCGTAAGAATTTACTACTTACAAAACAATATATATCTAACATATATAAAACCAAAACACTCCACTCTACTAACTAATGTGTGTGTCCTAGGACCCATACTCATTTACTCAAAAATTTAGTTAAATCCTCTTAATTAATGGTGCACCGGCCACGTCTTGGATCCACTGTCAAAGCCCAAAATATTAATATTTTAAATTTAATGAATAATTTATCATTTTTTAAAGTATCTAAGTATACATATTTTTCTATTTTGAAAAATAATTAATATTCTGGAATCCACTGTCAAGAAGGTGGGTGGTTCTTGACACCTGGAATATTAATTATTCTGGGACAATAATTTATCAGTTCTTGAAGGTGGGTCTCTTAGAAATTGTTCACGTTGGAGGTGGTTCCAGGAAGAACAAGAAGGTCATGACTTCATCATCATCATCATTGTCAACAGCTTCACCAAAGGTTCCAGACTTAAATTCACCAAGCCTCTCAGTCTCAACTATTCGTTCCCAAAACCTTAAAATGCAAAGAGGCCACGATCTTAATTTGGCTTTCCCAGACTGCTTATTCCACTCTTCCCTTTTGCATTCTTTTTTTTTTTTTAAATAAAAATAAAAATTGAGTCAACTCGGTAAACTTGCCAAATCAACTGAGTTAACACGACGTTTCAACCGTTTCGACGCAAAATCCATTTCAACTACAGTTTTGACACGTTTTTAACTTACGTTTCGACACTACGTTTTTACAATACCGTGCAGAACCTCATCAGAAGGGTCAACTTGTACATGCATCTTGCATGCCATTGCATAACACCAGCAGAGCCTTGCTTGGTCAAATTGTTGATGCCCAAGAGCAAGATATCCTTCATAGAAGTCTGGTTTGATTTTCAAGGCTTCTTCATATCTCATTTCTGCTTTAATATGCTCAAAAGGATATTCTCTTGACCCATCCTCTGAAGAAACCACAGTTTGCCCCCTTTAAGAAATTGATGAAAATCTGCTAGCAATGGAAATTTCCAAAAAAACAAACTTTATTAAACTAAATGAGTGCTGGTTGGTTACAAAGCTGACGTATGATCACTATTAGCATGGCAAAACAGTTACACATATCACACGATCACTATTTACAGGGGCCACCACATTAATGACACACTTTGACATTGATTTTTCAACCTACTAATTCACTCGCAGCCTATTGTGTATTAACTTGAGGCAGGTTTCTTTCCAGCCTCCTGTATAGCAAACCCTGTTTCAAATGTGCAAGAAACTCATATTTTAGATTTTAGATTACAGAGTACACATTTTTTAGCATAAAAGGAGGTAGAACGATGTGGCAGCCATTCCAATATCCATTTCACATAAGCTATAAACTTGATTCAGTGTAAAGCCTCCACAATCATAGAATTGATGGATAAATATATTGTAAGCCACCAAAGTTTCAGGGCTTTCTGAGTTTCTGTTTTCACAAGTACCTGAGAATTTTGTTAGAATGGGGACAAAGAAGTTACCCGTACCTATCATCTCTATTAAAATAAGCAATAAACCAAAGATACTATACACAACAAACATATTGAAAATAGTGAACTAGCCAGGATGCTTATATTTGTACTTGATGCGAACAAGGAACTTAAGCAGATATGATTTTCCTCATTTATACTGCTCCTATTACAATTTACAACTACCACTGTTATTGCGCATTAATCAGCAGATTTTTGCAATACAGATGTGTGTGGGAAAAGTTATACTTACCTATTTTTCTTATTAACTGTTACTGCCAAATCTTAACCGTTGATTTGTGCAATCTAACGGTTATAATTTATTGCAAATTAATAATTAAATAATAAGTATGACCCCATAAATTATAACCGTTGGATTGACGGAAATCAACGGTTAAGATTTAGTAGAAACAGGTAGTAAAAAAAATAAGTAGTAAGTATAACCTCTCCATGAATATACCAAACATTTAGATCTGCTTTATTTTGATTGTCAATTGTTGCTATTGCAACAGTGAGTGCAATACCAATCATCATTTGAGTCTTTTTTATTATAACATGTTGGATAAAATAAGAAACCTAGAACTTCATTGCTCAATCAAAGATAAATGAATATTTTGGCTCAAAAATTATGCAGAAGTGACAAGCAACCGTTTATCAATTATCCTTTACGCCAAAAAACATGCAACCAGAAATAATGTTTCAGTCAATACTTGCAAAATTAAAATCAATAAAACCCCATAGTGAGTTATTGCGAGAAAGAAGCAATGAAAGACATACTTCATCATGCAAGTCTCTGATAAACTGCATGAGTATATCATGTCTGAGGCGTCCCTTTCCATCTATACCAAATAAGTATTCTACTTTGGAGTCCATCCCTGTGGTGAACACCTTATCTGTTATGTGACCGCATTGATGCCATCACTTTCTTGAATTCTTCCTTATCTATCTCCCTTTAGATGGAGAAAACAAACTAAGGGTACTAGGACTGAGGAACAAGAAGTGAGTAGCAAGCACTCACAAGGACATCAAATCCAATGCAAAGTGTAGCCAGAATAAAAACACTACAATACTACAATTTATGTCTCTTTGAATTTGATGCCATTGATAAACAGTCTAATAGCTATGTGCTGATGCTTAAAGATGATTAGCTAGTATGATTAGAAGTGAATGATAAGGTTAAAAAAGTAAAAGGCAGAACTTACTACACAAGAAAGAAAGAATCACAATTCACTATATACCAACTCAGGCTACTAACATATCAGGTCTACTAATTGATACTATACATTCAAAGAAGGTGGCATGAGCACTGACCCATCATTATCCTTGTCAAACATTTTAAATGCTGCAGAAAAGCTCCATTCTGGGATACTAAGCAGTGTTACAAAAAAAATGTATTTTGTGTCTACTTTCCCAAACAAATAGGTTATAATTTAGGCACGCTTTTATGGAGCTGGGCCTCCAACTCCAGGCCTACTTTTGGGGTGGGGGCAGCACTTTATTTGATGCCTTAGTGGGCCAAATATGAAACCAAAAAAAATTGGCCCAAAATAATAATCATTTTCGTATGCCACCAAAATGAAAATTTTCTCTTACGAAAAAATATGAAAACTTTCACATTATATTATGGAATGAAAATAATATTTAACTCCAGTAAAAATTATCATTTGATTACCAAGGATTTTTCAAAAATTATATTATTTTGATATTTCTGTTTTTGTGAACAATTTATACTAATTAGTTGTTTTTCAATCCGCTTTAGGTATTTGTCCATTTTATTAAATAAGATGATGTTTTGATTATAAACACACACTCTCTCGAACAGAATATAAATTAAAAATAATATCCCAAGGCAATAGTCTTATCTTAAAAATGACAATAAGCTTTCTTTTAAGACTACTTAATTAATTCCAAAAGCAATCTTACTGAGATAACTTTACCTTCACTCTAACTTCATTTCTTTCTCACATCATTCTAGAGTTCCTCCGAAATCCCGAGAAAAAAAGTATAAAGAAGTTGAAGTTAAGAAATGCTTCTCCTTCTTCTTTTTTGATAAAGAAGAAGGTGGTAAAAAATAAGACTGGAAGTATAAACTTTCTCAAAGAGAAAAAAATCTTATTTTTTTAAATGTTATTTTACTTCTGTTATATTAACCTTATCCATTTTTTATTTTTTCTGCGAGCAAATAATTAATATGTATGTGATTTAATAATTAAATCCGATTAAATTAATTTTCATAATAAAAAAATAACCGAATGATTCGACAACAATTAACAAGTATTTTTTTTAATATATTAGTGGAAATTTAACACATAACCTAATACAAACAATCCAAATCTTTCACTACTAGACCAATTCTACTGGCTTAACAACGTATCTTTTAAAAATCAATCACGTTCATTCTATAGTTATGTTTCATGTTTTTCATAAAATAAAAATAAAATGAATAAGAAAGGTCAAGAGATTCATTAGGATTTCTATTATTGTACTACATTAACATAATTTAAAACAACTGTTTTGCATCAAGAAAAAGATCGGTATCAATGCATATTGACATAATTTATGTTGACATGAGTGCTGAATGTCCTTTGTTCCGTGGGTCATCATCATAGGCACGCATGACATTGCTGACCTAACTCTTAGCCACACATCTTCTAAACACGGGAAAGGAAACAAAATAAAGAGTAAGAACGAGTACCCAGTGGCTCGTGAACCAGAGGAGATTCCAGTGTGCAATTTAGAAACATAAAAGGAAAAGCAATGGAACATTGAGCA